CCCCAAAACCCCAAAACCCCAAAACCCCAAAACCCCTTAAATATCTTTTTACATTGGACTTAAGATTAATTAAGTAATTCGAACACGTTTTGAATAGATTTTGCTATACACACTGCATTTCATTTCTGGTATCCTCCTGATAACACCATGCAGAGAGGGACATTATTGTCAGAAGCACTCCTGATAACTAATTCGTCCCTTTGGATAACCCCATCTTCACTGATATTTAGCCCACTGAGAGGGTCACCTGCCATAATGTCAGTACCTGCATTATACATAATGAAGTCAGGTTTGAACTGCTGTATTCAGCTAGGAATTCAACTAATTTTACCCAGGTATGAACTATCATCATCTTGAGGGTAAACATGAAGTTCTTTGTCGATAGCTTTCCTTGCATTCATATCTCCTGGATAGATATTTGGTCTGAAACAATCAATGATGTAGATATCAGCATCATTTAAGAAGTCCCTCTCATGACCGTTTCCTTGATGAGCATCTAAATCGATGATCATGACCTTCTTGATTCCACAGAATTTCCTCAGAAGGTTAATTGCTATTGTGATATCTGGGTAAATACAGAAGCCACCTCCTTGGTTTCCACAGGCATGGTGGTATCCTCCACTTAAACTGATGGCCACTCCTCTTTGAAGAGCCATGAAGGATGCACAGACTGTACCATAGGTAGCTCTCAGCATTGGATTCAGTGTCCTCCATCTTACTAGCCAAGCAGGTAGAAAGCATATTGGTAGCTCAACACATTTTCCAATATAAAGGCTATAATTCAACAGCGCGAGATGCCAAAATGTTCAAGTTTCGTATAAGAAAGTTCTTGAGCATATAGAAGGTGCCAAGAGTTTGTCCTCTTTACTGAGGACTTTCCATTCTGTCAGGAAATTATAAATTCTGCCATATTTTCGAGAATCAAATGGGTGTAGTTTCTCTAACCCAAATGCAGTGATGTTGTAGCCTGGGCTATGCACCTAAAAGTTGTTAATTTCAAGCTTACTATTGGATGTTTGGTTCCAAGATTTTAACCAAGAAGGTCTTCAATAATTTGCAAGAGCTCTTCATCTTTTAATCTCTCACCTTGAGAATTAGGCGTTGGCCAGGTAACCTTTTTCCTTCCCATAGTGAAACCCATAAATATAGCTTCTTGGATTATTGGCCATACTGTTAGCATGATCAGAGCTCCAAAGAATGTGATATAAAAGAGTCCAAAGTTGTTATCCCAGAAAACAGTAAAGAATAGAGGTATTAGGGCAATAGCAGATACCCAGATCGTTGCGTTCAACAATGCTTCCATTTTGCCTCTGAATTTGGCTTTTAATTATATATTTCTCTCACCTTTTTGTAAGTATTTTGGGGTTTTGGGGTTTTGGGGTTTTGGGG